AGGACCTGAGCGCTCAGCCTCAGGGGGGCCGAAATTCCCTTACCTTAATTTCCGTTTAAGGTATGTTAACAACTCGACGTGGTGTTAACTGACGACGTGCCGTGGACACTTGTCTCTTGAGAGCGATTTGTCAAAGACTCCTCGGGGCGTAAACCCGGGTAAAGCCTGGCGTGATTCGCCCTCTTGTGGAGCACTTGGAGTGCAGTCATTAACCGCACATCCAGGGCCGGGGAGCTCAGAAGCGCACCCAGCGGGCCGGATGATTGGCATCGGGTTACGGGCTAGAGAGCCCTAGCCCCGGGGGTGCGCGTTCGCAGGGCAAGGGCCTTAAAGTAAACACAGTTCTCCGAGGGTTGGACCCGCGTACCGGGTTTCCCCTTAACTGCAGGACGCCCCCTCTACTCGGAGCTAGTGGACATTACACTGGACACCACGCCCAAACACAGACACTTGCTTAGTCCTCGGTCCCGGGGCTCCACCTTCGGTCCTCCCGGGGCTCCGGTTCTCCCCGATTCGCTCTCTTGCTCGCTTGCCGAGCGTCATACGACGGCCGGTGTGGTCGTTTCCCTCGTTGTTGGTGTCGCTTCCTCCGCTGCCGCCTTTCGTCTTCGCCAGCCTCTCCCAGCTCCACCGGTTCTGAGAGTGTCGACGGCCCGGCCGGGGTCACCCCGGGCGAGAACGGTGGCATTGGGTCGCGCCCAGAGGCCCAGTTCCACCCCCGGGGGGTCGAGCCCGCTCTCCCTGGTTGACGAGTCGCGCCCGCACCCGCGGCCTCTCTATCGTCCTCGGCTCGCCCCCCCCCTCCGCCGGCTCCTCTCCGGGCTCGTGGCCACTGAGGGAGGTGCGCTGGACGACTCACCGGGTCGTGCTTGTCATCGTCGTCCTTGCTGTCGACGTCGTCGTCGTCCGAGGGCTGCGTCAGGGGCGGCAGAGGCGTTCGCGGCGCATCTCGGTTCATCTCGGTTCATCTCACGCCGCTGGCGGCGACATCGCCTCCACCACCGCCCATACCAGCTAGATTGCGGCTGAGGGAACGGAGGGCCGGGGTCGCACCTTCTCCGGATCGTGCTTATCGTCCTTGTCCGGGCGGTCGGCGTCGTCGTCGTCCGAGCCGTGGCGGTGCTGTGGCGAGGCCAAGGCAGAGTCAGAGGCGGCACAGACGCAAGCGGGGAAGGGCTGGCGCCGGCGGCAGGCAAGCGCCTTGTCCGCGTCGTCATGACTGTGGGCCGAGTCCTTCTCGCCATCTTCGTCGGCGTGCTTGTCATCGTCACGCGTCTCGTCCTGTATGCACGGCACAAGGCAGAGCGCCAGTGAGTGGCTGGCCACTGAGGGAGGTGCGCTGGACGACTCACCGGGTCGTGCTTGTCATCGTCGCCCTTGCTGTCGACGTCGTCGTCGTCCGAGGGCTGCGTCAGGGGCGGCAGAGGCGATCGCGGCGCATCTCGGTTCATCTCGGTTCATCTCACGCCGCTGGCGGCGACATCGCCTCCACCACCGTCCATACCAGCTAGATTGCGGCTGAGGGAACGGAGGGCCGGGGTCGCACCTTCTCCGGATCGTGCTTATCGTCCTTGTCCGGGCGGTCGGCGTCGTCGTCGTCCGAGCCGTGGCGGTGCTGTGGCGAGGCCAAGGCAGAGTCAGAGGCGGCACAGACGCAAGCGGGGAAGGGCTGGCGCCGGCGGCAGGCAAGCGCCTTGTCCGCGTCGTCATGACTGTGGGCCGAGTCCTTCTCGTCATCTTCGTCGGCGTGCTTGTCATCGTCACGCGTCTCGTCCTGTATGCACGGCACAAGGCAGAGCGCCAGTGAGTGGCTGGCCACTGAGGGAGGTGCGCTGGACGACTCACCGGGTCGTGCTTGTCATCGTCGCCCTTGCTGTCGACGTCGTCGTCGTCCGAGGGCTGCGTCAGGGGCGGCAGAGGCGATCGCGGCGCATCTCGGTTCATCTCGGTTCATCTCACGCCGCTGGCGGCGACATCGCCTCCACCACCGCCCATACCAGCTAGATTGCGGCTGAGGGAACGGAGGGCCGGGGTCGCACCTTCTCCGGATCGTGCTTATCGTCCTTGTCCGGGCGGTCGGCGTCGTCATCGTCCGAGCTGGCGTCGTCGGAGCCGAGGCGGTGCTGGAAGCGAGGGCAGGGCCGAGGCAGGTTCAGGGTGGGTGAGTGGGTGAGACGAGTGGTAGGGCGCCCACCTTTTGATCGGCGTCGTCGTTGTCGTGCGCCGGGTGGGACGGGATCCATTTTGCGATGAACTGGGGGATGCACTGGCTGAATGTCTCGCGGCGGTACTGACAGGTGTACTCGCGGGGGCATGCCGTCGGCCCCTCGTAGGACTTGCCGCCGCATTGCTCCCATGGTCCAGGGTTTCGAGGGGGAGACTTGCTGTCGTGCATAGGCTTGGCAAGATGTGCCACGATATCGTCTGCTGGCCCATCGTCGTAGATGGCTCCGTCGCCGGTGCGCCATCCGAGCCAATCGTCGAGCCAGACGGGCACACA